TTTTTTTTTTTTTTTTTTTTTTTGTATTGGAGATATTTAAATTTTTTTTGTTAGATATACTTTTGTTTTTTTATTTGTTTTAGACGACAATGTATGTCACAGTTTATAAATGATAAAACGAGCACCTCAGTAACAAACAGCGTGACGATTGATGGCGACGGGGTCATGGAGGGTGCGTATGCTGAGGGCCGTGATGTTTTTGGGACTGTTAAGCCGGGAACCAAGGGGAACATGGAGGCTGCTAAACTGTGTAGTGCAGAAGATATCGCTAGGAGAAAGGAGAATGAAGAGAACGGTTTTATCTTGCCCATTCGTTTTAATTTGCTTATGTTATTATTTTTAACTCTGGTACACTAGAGTCTGTTAATAGAGGAGGAGATAGTCAATAAAATTTTAGAGCAGCTTGTCAAATGTTTAAGTTGGGACATGGATCCAAGCGTTATTTTGAAGCACATGGCGAGACCAGACTCAGGACTCCAAATAAAAAATCGGAAGTGGCTTAAAATACCAGTGCCAATGTCGTTTATAGGTAACTTTTTTACTTGCTTTCTCTTATTGATTGTTTTAGGTAATTCTTCAGCAAGTTTCAAGGACTAGGATCCATAACTTCTCTCTAATCTCTCTTACCAGATTTTTTTTCTTTAAAGTTATTTTTTATTATTGGTTACTTCCAAAACTTCGTTTTAAGCTCATTTTTTTAATGAGTTTTGATCGCTCAACTTGTTCTTTTTTTTTTCTTTTTTTTTTTTGAGTAAATCATTCACTGGTCTAGGGAGGGACCTCGTTGATTGGCTATTGGATAATGTACATGGAATACGTGATCGCAAGGCGGCACGGTCGTTTGCTTCACAGTTACTTACTCAGGGCTATATAAAGCATGTAGTGAATAAACTAACCTTTACCGAAAAATGCTATTATGTATTTGATGGTAGGTTAATATTGTCAATATACGTGTGGTATCCAACTTTAGTATGCAGTTAATCTTCTTGTTTTTTTTTAGTTTCTGCAATTGAATGCTTTTGTTTCAGAAGCTATTTTATCTGTCAGGAACACCAATCATTCAAATTCTTCTAATGGTAAAGCTGGAACTGAATCAACCACAGAAGTTACTTATGTTGCATCTCCAGCTCCTCCCTTACCTCCACGAGTTGGGCTTCGTAATTTTAATAATGGTAACCGCAAGTTACCGGGCAATGCCGACGAAACGTGGCCGCTGTCCCCTATAACTAACGTCTGCGACCCTTCTAGAAGGAAGAGTGGATGCGAAAGCCCCCTTGTAAGTGTCAGCTGTTAGCAATGTAATACTGTGGCTTTAACGATTAGCATTTACGTAAGCCAGTTTGACTGAATAGTAGCAGTAACCTCTGTCGTAATTTATTCATTTGTTTATTCATTTATTCATTTATTCATTCATATATTCATCTGTTTGTTCATTTATTTTTTTATTTTGAGATGGTGCATGATTAATAGCACTGGAGTTAAGGTAAAGGGTTTCTAAACTAGTACGGTCTTCTATTAACTTTTTTGGTCGAAAATTCATTGTGTCAGTTGCTTTGCACAAACTTATTAATGGAAGTTGATCTATTTTTTCTGTTTTCTTGAGACTGCTTAATATTTCACTTCTGCATTGTTCCAGAAGTTTTTTGAACATTTCTATTATACAGACAAACGATTATGCGTCAGTGATTGGTCCAGAGGTTATTACTTCTACTATGTTGGCTGGTACAACGAATGAAGTGTCTTCGTTAAATCTTTCTCGACGCGACTTTGGTCACTGCGCCAATAACAGGCGAAGGGTAGTGGATGAGATATTGGTACCGTTCTACTTTTCCATTATTGCATTTATATCATTTACTGTCACAAGTTCATTGGATAATTTTTTTACAGGTATCCCAACCTCCAAATACTCCGAGTTCATTATCATTGGCACAAAATAACGCTGTAAGTGCTGCTAGTGAAACTGAGTTTGAGGTAATGGATGAAGAACGACGTGTAGTTAACAGTAACGGTAGGTGCTGAGTAGCGTTTCTGGAATTTTCGTGTACTTAGGTGTTGTTCGTTTAAATATTTTGGAGATTATTGGAGCCTTACTCTTACAATTTTGCTTGTTCGATTTCCGTGTTTTTTGATATAAATTTTCTATTAAAAAAATTTCTGTTAGTTTGAAATTACCTGT